AAACTCTCTTCGATAGAAAGATATTTTTTTTTAATATAAAATAAATTAAATAAAAAATTATTTAATTAAAATAATTATCAATTATTTTAAAACTGAATAATTTATCTATTATTTAATACACCCTTAACTTTCCAAATAATTAGGGCACTACAGGGACCTCAGGAATAAAATAAATCAGGCTACTAATTATAATAATAACCTATGTAGACCAACATATTCTTATTATAATTAATCATGAATTATTCCACTAAGAAAACTCAATGACTGAACTCCTTATTTAATTTTACAATTCCACAAAAAAATAAAATAATGTTTCCCCACGTTAAGATTAACAAGATGCTGTCATTTAAATAACTTACTGACAATTTATTTAAATCACAATATAACTTTAAGATTGTCGCTCAACTTATTTCATGTTATTTCATGTGTCGGATTCAAAATCCACCTGCAGGGTTTACACTATGAAACCTTATAAGCTTACTTAAAGTGCATCATCAATCTCTAAACCGAGACATTGATTCTATCATTAATTAATATTTCACAAACACAAAAAGCTTTGCCCAATTCACCGAGAATATTATTCCAATAATGAAACTCATCCTTTAATGAATCAAAGCATAAGACAATCAATGTTTGCTCATATTAAAATAAATCAAGATTAAGAACAATAAACATTATTTCTAATGTCTTAGAGAATATGTTTAACAGTCATTACTAACATCCATTCTCTACTTGGTCCAATTAAAATACATACAAAATGTACTAATCACAATTATTGTTCATATGCTAATAACATTATAATGCAAATTTCCATTTCCAATTAAATACAAAGAAATAATCGTCAATAGAAAATCATTCATAGCTATACTATTACATATGCATGGTTAATAGTATATCTCTATCAATTTCCCACTTAGACTCATAACCATGCATCAATAACTTTAACTCCCATTCCTTCTACATGACTGTTAAAAGCCTTTGCTGGTAAGCTTTTTGTAAAAGGATCTGCCAGGTTGTTTTCCGATGCAATCTTTGTCACTACCACATCTCCCCTTTGAACCATGTCTCGTATCAAATGATACTTCCTCTCAATGTGTTTTGCCCTTTTATGGCTCCGTGGCTCCTTGAGTTTGCACTGCCCACTATTATTCACAATAAAGTGTAATAGGCAATTGCACTGGGGCAATTGCACTGAAGAAACTACGCCTAGATCCATAAGGAAGTTCCTAAGCCATACAGCTTCCTTTGCAGCTTCAGAAGCTGCCACATATTCAACTTCCATGGTGGAGTCAGCAACACAAGTTTGCTTAATACTCCTCCAACTTATGGCTCCACCTCCCAAGACAAAAGCATTACCAGAGGTTGACTTCCGAGAGTCCTTATCAGTCTGAAAATCCGAATCTGTATACCCAATGGGTACAAGATCGTCAGATTGATAAACTAACCTATAATCCCTAGTCCTTTTCAAGTACTTGATAATATGCTTGACTGCAGTCCAGTGTTCTCGCCCAGGATTAGATTGAAATCTGCTAACCATGCCAACAGCAAAACAGATATCAGGTCTGTACACAACATGATACATAAGGGCTTCCAACTGCCAGAAGCATATGGAACTGCCTTCATTGTTTCTCTATCTCCTCAGGTGTCTTAGGGACATTGGTCTTTATTGGTCCTTAGATAGAGTGATTCCATGTCTGAAGGGAAGAAAACCCTTCTTGGAATCCTGCATGCTGAAACGAGCAAGAATGGTATCAATAAAAAGTGCTTGAGATAAGCCAATCATCCTTTTCTTGCGATCTCGCATAAGCTTAATCCTAAGAATATGAGCAGCCTCTCCCAAATCCTTCATATCAAAACGTTGGGACAGCCAATCTTTGACAGAATTCAACATACATTCAACATACCTACACAATTCCCTATAAGCAGAATATCATCCACATATAGTACCAGAAAAACAACCTTACTACCATTCCATTTCTTATACACTCAAGACTCATCATGACACTGATCAAAGCCAAAACTTTTAATCACTTGGTCAAAACAAGTATTCCATGACCTAGATGCTAGTTTAAACCCATAAATGGACCTATTCAATTTGCAAAGCAAATTTTCTTGTCCATTGTTTATGAAACCTTCTGGTTGCTTCATATAGATACATTCATCAAGACTTCCATTTAGGAAAGCTGTCTTGACATCCATTTGCCAAATCTCATAATCATATAATTGAGCTGCAATGGATAGAATAGTTCTAATAGACTTTGAATGGCTACCGCGCGAAAAAGTTTCCTCATAATCGATCCCTTCTTTCTGAGTTAAAACCCTTTGCAACAAAGGCGCGTTGCCTTTATAAGTTTGCACTTTTGACCGTCTATACCCCTTCTTCTTCTTATGATCCACTACATCCGATGGGTTTTTAACCCCTTCAGGTGTCTTCTTCAGGTGGTTCTACAAGTTCCCAGACTTGATTAGAGTACATGGACTCCATCTCAGATTTCATAGCTACAAGCCACTTATCAACATCTTTATCTTATAGTTCTTCATCGTAACAGACAGGTTCAATAGTCACTTCTTCAGGGATTCTATCAAAAGCTTCTCCCAAAAGTGTATATCGAACCGGTGATTGTCTAATTCTCCCACTACGACGAAGTACTACAGGTTCTGCAATCACACCTTCATTTTGTTGTGGCTGTAAAGCCGGCAAGTCCATGACTGGTGGGACTACATCTTGATCATGTTCTGGAACTTCAACATGTCTGTCATCACCACCAGGGAGGCAATGAAATGTTAGAAGGCCCCAACATTGTGCTCCGTGTATATTTGGAATCAACAGCGTGCCACTTTCAGTTTCTACATAACTCCCACTACTTTCATGTGGGTAGTTGAAATGTTAGGTACTGAATATTCAGAGCTGATGTTGATTTACTGGGTCGAACTAACTTTCTTCCACTACGGACTAGGCAAAATGGCAATGTCAGCCTTCAACCATTGGATGTTTAGGGTTGTGTTCTAATGGAAAGGTTAACTAGTTGATATTTTTTCCTCTCATTCATACAAGGCTAATTGACTTTTGAGGAATTATGTTTATTATAGTCTTCCTCAAGATAATGTGGCATTGGTGCTAACATATGACCCATTTAATCTGAGAACTATTAAAATAAACCACCTTTCGTTTCCTTCTTAGGGATATCCAATAAAAGAAGGCATAAAGTCTGTTTTGATTTCCAACTATCTGCTTTTCCCTTTCAGCACATGGGCTGGACAACCCACATCCGGAACATGTCTTAGACCTGGCTTTCCGCCCAGTCCACATGTTTCTGTAAGAGTTTTAGGTTTTACTGACTTAGAATGGGAACCAAAATTCAGGAATATATGCTGCCTTTACTATTGGCTACCCCCAAAACGAAATGGGCAAAATTCTGAAATTAAACTCATCCATTGATCTAACCATTTCCATAAAGCGTTCCTATTTCTTCTTTTTGCTTACACCATTCTGTATGTGGCATACCAGGTGCACGAACAACTGTGAAGTCAATTCCTGTGTTCTGAAAATAAGTAAGATGAAATTCCCTAAAGAGGTTATTTCGCCACCTACGGTCAGACCGTAACGACTTGATATATTTTCCATTGTCGTTTTTCTCCGTTTCTGCCTTGGAACTACTTTGAATCTCAAAGCATTCAGACTTCGGCGGAACAGGTAATGTATCCATATCTTGGAGTATTCCATCTGTGAAAGTCACAAAATACTCAAAAAAAGTCACAAAATACTCAAAACCACCCCTAGCTTGGACACTCATTGGACCACACAAATCAGAATGAATTAATTCAAGTACATCATTAGTTCCATTACCCTTTATAGGAAAAGGCCTCTTAGTCATTTTACCTTCTAAACAAGATTCACAGGTTGGCAGTGCCTCCACTTTCAATGAACTCAATGGTCCATCCTTGACCAACCTAGAAATCCTATCTACATTAATATGACCCAGCCTTAAATGCCACAAATAGGTATGACTAAATTCAATAGGACGTTTTCTTTTCAATGGAACAATGACATCAAAGTTATTAACTTTAGAATTAGGAATTTGCAGTTCAGGTGAAACTTTGAGAATAAAAAGATCATCAATCATTGCCAGAAACATATCATTTGTTTTTCTAAAATAATAAACGACAGAATTCATCATAAAAATTTCATTAAAACAAACCGAATTTCCATTTCTTTGCTCAAAACTAGAAAACTTGAAATTAAATTCCTTCTAATTTGAAGGTACATATTAAAACATTCCTTTCAAAAACAATGTTCTATTATATTCTCAAAATTCAAAGGAAACATTTCCTATAGCTAGAACTCTTGCAACTTCTGTGCCAATCGTCCCAGAAAAAAATGCTAATTTCTCTTTTTATTTACTTGCAAAAATGCTTACATCTCCTTTATTTAGCTGACGAGTTACCTGAAACTGCTGCAATGAATTGCAGACATGATTAGTGGCTCCAGAATCTACACATCATTGGAGTGTAGTCAACACCGCTAAGCAAGTTTCAACTATCAGCATATAAAACAGAGACATACCTTGCTTCTTCTTGGCTAACCATGTTGGAAATTGTGACTTCCAGTGCCTAGGTTGCTTGCAATGAAAACACTTACCCTTAGGCTTTTTCACAGCAACACTTACACTAGTAGATGCAGCACTTGTTTTAGGCTTAGCCTTGTGAGCATTTTTCTTCTTCTTACCCTTGTTCTGGGCAGAAGAAGAACCTCGCTCAGTTAAAGCCAACAACAGGTGCAGCTCCTTTGCTTAATAATGGTCTCAGCAAGCCACCAGCTCAGTTCAGCAACTTAGACCAGAGTGGAAAATCCCATCTATCATGTTATAGTTCTCAAACGAAACTGCTGAAAACTGGCTGGCAAAGTGTTCAAGATCATTTCTATCTGTGTAGCATTGTCAACCTCAGCACCAAGAACCTCCATGTTATTCAGAAGACTCATCATCTTCAAGACATGAGTTCTAACTGGGGTCCCCTCCTCCATTTTGGAAGTAAGAATCTCCCTCAGTGGTAAGAATCTCCCTCAGTGCATTTTGCCTTGCTGCACTAGTTTGATCTCCAAACATCTCCTTGAGATTTTCGAGCATGTCAAAAGCTGTGTCTATCTTCTGATGCTGATGTTGCAAAACATTTGACACATAAGCCAAAATGTAGCATCGCGCCATCTCATCAGCTTTAACCCATTTCTGGTAAGCTCTGGCGACCTCCTCAGAGGCACCCTCACCGGGTTTTTCAGGACAAACTTCAGTAAGCACAAACTTATAATCCTCAGCAATAAGCAAAATGTCCAAATTCCTCTTCCAGTCAACATAGTTTGGACCCTCAAGTTTGTTTTGGGTTAAGATGTTTGCAAGGGGACTGAATGATGCCATTTCTGAAAGGGGGAACTGAACTGATTTGTCATTTCTATATCATGCATTTTAAACAAAAACTAGCATAATCAAATAAATGAACATTGGAATAAATCAAAAAATTGGCAATATACAACATTTGATATCACTAATTCAAAAGGAAAAAAAAATTAAGCACATTCACAAACACTCATGATAGCAAACCTTCGATGGAGAATGTTACATTCATGAATAGCAACCTCGATGGGAGAATTCAACCAATCACATGTTTTGCATATTATAATTAGATAAGACCGGCACATACTACTCGATGGGAGATAATATGCCTCTTAAATTAACATATTAATGTGTGAGAAAATATTACATCTGATTCATGTCACTAATTAATTTACTCAGATGGAGAGTTAAATCAATACAGACAAATTAGACTAGTTCAGTAATTATATTAAAACATGACATCTTCCGATGGGGAAGACATGCAAATAATTACAACTAGAAAGTAAAAAAAAAAAAAACCACTCACAAATTAATTCATATGAAATAAATTAATTATAAAATCAAAATTTGCGCAAATTAATTATTATTCATTAAGAGCAATTTTGCAAATAAAAATTAAACATTTTAAGTTTGCGATAAATTGTAAAATTTTAAGATGTTCTGTCTAAATTTAGTGTTCTGGTCTATTTATGCAAATAAATTAAAACATTCTGGGTTTATCTTGAAAAACAGAAACATTCTGGGCCATTTCGCAAATTTCAGAACTTGTTTGGACTATTTTGCATAAAACAGAAACTATTGGGTCAAAATTGCAAAAATCGGAAAAATTCTAGGCAATTTTAATAATCTAGGCAATTTTAATAATACCAGAAACAATCAGGGTCACTTTATAATTTAAATAACTCCAGGGGCCAAAACGGAATAACGGATACTTTCTGGGTCAAAATATAAAAAATTAAAGTCCAGAGGTTAAAATATAATAAACAAAAGATCTAGTGTCAAAAAATAAAAACTTAAAGATAAGGGGTCAAAATATAAAATTTAACAAATTGAGGGACCAGAAGGGAAATTTGGCAAGCAGCAGCTTCTTCTTCACGAAGAAGCCCTAGCCGCTGCCCCTTTTCCCTTCAACGTCCATTAACGCTGCTGGCGCTTTTTTTTTTTTTTTTTTTTTTTTTTTTTTTCTCTTTTGCCCCTCTACTGATTCTTCAAAACCAAAAACCAAAAATTTTGTCTTTTCTTGCCCCTCTTCTGTTTCAGTCGAAACACACCCAAAAATTATATATATATTATATATATTATATATATATATATATATGATATAATATGCTTTTTTTTTTTATAATAATTGCCCCATTAAAAACTACAGTTTCAAAAAAGTTTGTTTCAGGGTACTGCACTTTTGGCTTGCTGTCCTTCAAAAACTCTTTGGGAAACTCTGCTTAACCATGTACCAATCAAACAACAAAAACACGATTAATAGATACACGATTGAAACATGGACAAAATAGGCCACCATTCATACAGTTTCGTTTATGGCTCTGATACCAATTGATGGGAGCGGGTGATAAAGCGGAACCAAACCCTCATCGTGAAAAACCATTATGAGGCAAACTAAAAACATTTACTCGAACAAATCAATAAACTGACCTTCGTTGAAAGCGCAGAATCGCTCGACCCGGTCTTCTTTCCAGAGATCTTGGAGTCGACCCGACGAAATTCTGCAGTAATCCCAACTATTCTCTCTTTGGAACTCTCTTGAGTGGCGGAGAATAGAAATAACGTGCGTCTTGTTTTATTCGTTAGGGTTTCCAATCTAATTATTAAAAAACCTGCTCTTCGGATAGGAAATATTTTTTTGAATATTAAAATAAATTAATTAAAATTATTTAATTAAAATTAATTATCATATTAATTTTTAAAACTAACATAATATCTATATAATACACCCTTAATTTTCCAAATTAATTAGGGCACTACAGGGACCGCAGGAAATTAAATAAATCAGGCACTTAATTATTAATTAAGAACCTATGGTAGAACCAACATATTCTTATCTATAATTAATCATGAATTATCCACTTAAAATCATGACTGAACTCCGTATTTATTTTACATTCCACAACACATAATAAAAATAATTGTTCCCCACAGTTAAGATTACAGATGGCTGTCATTTAAATAACTTACTGAGACAATTTTAATTTAAAGATTCACAAATATGGACTTTAAAGATTGTCGTCTCAACTTATTTCATGTGTCGGATTTCAAAAAATCACCAACCTGCAGGGTTTACACAATGAAAAACCTTATAAGCATTTACTTAAAGTGCATTCATCAATCTTCTACGAAACCGGTAAGACCATTGGATTCTATCATTTTAATAATAATTTCACAAACACAAAATATCTTTTGCCAATTCACCGGATATATTCCAATAATTGGAAAACTCCACCCTTTAATGAATTCAAAACACAAAGACAATCAATGTTTGGCTCTATTAAAATAAATTCCAAAGATTTTAAGGAAACATAAACATTATTTTCTAATGTCCTAGCAGAAATATGGTTAACAGTATCCAGTATATAAAACATCCATTCTCTTCTGGTCCAATAAAAATAACATACAAAAGTTTACTAATCAACCAATTATTGTTCAGTATGCTAATAACATTTTATTTTAAATGCAAAATTTCCAAAATACAAAGAAATAATTTGTTCAAATAGAAAATCATTCCATAGCTATTACTAATTACATATTGCATGGTAATTAGTATATCTCTATCAGGAAGCCGATGTCGAGTTCTCGTGCTCCCTTGACTTTTCGGGTAACGTCTGGCTTCTCTCTTGTTTGACAAGGGGGAAAGCCCTGGTCTCTCTTCTTTGGTCTCTCTCTTTCTCGCTCTCTCTCTTCTATTTCCAACGAGTGCAGCAATCACAGGGAGCTGCGATCTTATTTTCGATCGGACAGCTCCACCCTCGACTCTCTCCTTCGTTTTCGTCAAGAACAGTCAAGAGGCGGCCAAACCACCTCTCATCCCATCCCCAGCACCTCACCTCCACTGTTCCTCTCTTTTCCAGGCAAGCCAGCATCAAGTTCCTCTCTTTTCCAGGCAAGCCAGCATCAACAGAAATAGGTTTTGGACAAAGAAGCCGCTCCCGATCGTTCTACCCAAAAATTTACGATTTCTGGTGTGCTTTTACGACAAGGTAAGATAATTTTTGACCCTCTTCAGTATGGTTTAAGAGCTTTTAGTTAATGATGAAAGATGTAATCCATGAATGAAGCTATTGTAGAAAGCTAAATGCTAGTTACTACTATTCATATGATTGGAAAATCTAATTCTTCAATCAAGTTTAAATGATGAACTTATTAATGAATAAGTTAGCATGATCAAATGAATTTTTGCTTATAAATGAGTACTGAACTATAGTGGCAGCCTCTAGCTAGAGAAAATTATGGTTTTTGTTTGAATTAAGTCTATATTTAGGTATCAATATGCTCTTCATATTTTGTTATGAGTATAAAGGTTTTAATTATCAAAGATTAAATCTCCAGCTACTGTTCATGCGAATTAGCTTGGAAAAGTTTTGATAAAAAAAAAGGTTGTAACGGAACCTATAAAATGAATTGTATAAGGAAGAGTAAATTACCATGTCTTATTTTAACAAAGAAATTAAGGATTCCTAAGCATGACAGTAGCTATTTTAGCCATTTGTTTGAATTCTTGATATAATATGAAGGAAATAAGTATTATACTTTAAAAATCTTGATGGATAATGAAATAATTAGCTTATTTGTTAGAAGGGTTGATTACACATTTGCTATCATTCCTTGATGGAAGTTTAAACTGGAAATCCAAAACGGAACTGATAATTTCATGTAGTTATATTAGATTTTGATTGTG